CGGAGGGACAGTGACTTCCGAGGATGCAAACACAACACGAGAGGGCCTGCGGTACAAAACCCCGTCAGGGAAAATTGAAACAGAGCACGATATATTTACAGAGTGCAGGCACAGGAAAGGCAAGTTGACTAATTGCCACGCCCCTGATAGCAACTACTGCTCTAAGAAAACAATTTACCTTAATTAACTCGGTGAGCGCCGAGGAAAATCTTTTTTCTCTGTCAAGGCGGGCTCGGGTGCTTTGGCTATTTTCAGACTCGCGTTTTTTTCAAGTATTGCTTATGTGCTGATACAAGTACAGAATCTCATCCTCTCACCAATAATGGAGGAACAGATTTGCCGCTAGAGGATGAAATTAAGGCCTCCTTTCCCTTTCTTTGCTATTTTCAGATGCAGCCCACAGGGAGAGGAGCAAGAATGAAAGTGGGAAATGGGCCTCTGGAGCAGGGTCGGGGGGTTTGAACGGAAACAACTTACACGGACCAGACCCCGCTACTCAAAGTAAAATTTTAATTCGATGCACTTAAAACCTTTAGGTTGACAAAAGAGCAACAACAGAATCACGTCATCTCACATCTTTGCTGGATGTTTGCACATGAATAATGTCTTGTTTTAAAACGAGATTTCAAGAGAGCATCACGCGAGAAACAACAGAGACGGGGTGAAAGTGAGGGATCGCTGCAGTTGTTAACAGACAGTAAACAGTCACCTTCACCACAGCTCCCATTAAGATCCGATTGGGAGGTAATGGAACGTTGTTGCCCTGGGGCAAACAAAACTGGTGCCAAAAAAAATCTCACAAGACTATGCTGAATTAGAAGTGACCTAGTATATAGTTAAAAAAAAATGTAGGTGCATGATGCAGTCACAGTAATAAGGGGACAGAATGTTTCATCAAAAATGAATATGAGGTGTTTTCATCAAAATCAATCATCAAAAACCTTATTTTTGTCTTTTTTAAACCAAGACAGAACTTCAACAAGCTCTAAAATGTGATGTAATGTTTCCAACACAAAAAACCCTGCGCTGGATGATCTTCTGTTCCCACCATATGGAGCAACGCCTATCAATACATCTTTTTTGTCTATTTTCTGTCCAAGAGCTGTAATTTTCTACCCGGAGACCACCTGTTCCGAGGGCCGTCCGGCGTAGCGGCAGGTCGCATTTGGGTTTGTGACAGCATTGTGCACCGGACACAAGCAGAAAAAAAAAGAACAGCAAACAATGAAGCACAAGACGTGACCTTCAGGGAGAGGTGGGCTCCGGACACGCCGTCGCTCCCCCAGAAACGAATCAAATACAGGCACACAAAGTCCGGTTTGGAATAAAAGGGGAGCGGGGGGAGGCAAAGGGGCATCTTGTACATGCTGAGCTACAAATGGTGCTTTGTCGGGAGATTGCTGACAAAGACAACTGTGCCCTTCTGGTGCGAAACTGGAAGTAACCAAAGCTAAACCTGTGGGACAGTGGGTCGACACTATGGGACAGGACAAGCATCGATAGGATTAATGCTGATGAAATAGTGTTTATCAAGTAAGCAGAGTGTATTTTATGGTAAATTCTGCAACTAAATGCATGAATTTACTTAGACTATTCTACTGTAGATCTGATTCATTGAATTTAACCCCCTTCATCCAGACTATAACATCCAAAATTCACCCTTTAATACTCATTTAAAGCTTTTTTCTTTATGTATGTGCATATAGTTCCTATTTGCACCATTTAGGCTTCCAAAATAATCCCAATCTAGGCGGTTACATCTTAAGCAATTCTTCCCATCTTTGTCCACCATCATGTATTTAATCTGTGCAGTGACAAGTGATTACATCAAATTAGATTAGCTCTGGGTCAATCACAAAACACTGGCACAACATTAACCTTGTTTCATCAATATCGGTGAATCCTCAGTCATTCAATTAGGATCACTGTCGCTCAGGCAGATTTGAGTTTAAAACAGCTACTAAAGTTGAGAAATAACTAAAACAAAGAGGGGGGATAAACGGGCCAGGATCTGTCAAGCAGCTCCAGCTCCACTGCGAGGATCTATGTCAAGCAGGCGCCGATCGATGAGGAAATCGGATGCAAATCGTATAGTGTAACACCTCATCAAAGAGGAACAAATACATCCATGAATTTAGTCGATGGGCTGCGTTACTGTCCGATGAAGCCCCTGTGAGCTGTCTCAGATTTTGAGGGGTGATGGAGGAAGAGAGAATGGCTTTCAAAAAATACAAAAAAAAAAAAATACAAAAAGAGAAGATAATCAATAAAATATCAATCAATAGGCAGCTGGGAGGGGGGGCAGGAGGATTGCTTGGCTCGAGCCTTCACAGATAATCGAAGATGCTAAGACAAGGGTCCCCACCCCCATCATGCTACGTCTTTCTCTCTGTGGTTGTCACCTCCTCCTTCCCCAGCTCGTCTCCCCCTCTTTTCTTTCCCCAGTCTCTCTCAGGCTCCCCTTCAGTCCCCCTTTTTCTCTCCACTATCTCACCCCTTCTCCATTTCTCTCCCACCCTCCTCCACCTTCCCTTTCTCCAGCGCTCTCCCCTCTCCTCCTCTCCTCCCTCCCTCCTCTCTCTCTCTACCCTCTCCGTGTCTACTGCAGCAGAAAAGCCAGCACTGACACCAGCATGTGTGTGTTCGTACATGTGTGCGCTACTACGGTAAATCCACGACTGAGCCTCGAACGACGGACGAGCAGTGAAGGTGAAATTTAAGAAGGAGAAGAAAAAAAAAAAGAAAAAGCCCAGCGTGCGCGTCGAACGCTCCGATCAAAAGCATTGATTGCTGGTGCGTTACATCACAGCCATGCAAACAAACCCCCTTTAAATCATTAGAGTAATGTCTCTCCTCCTGTCTCCCTTTATTTCCTCTCATCTCCCTCTTCCTCCCTCCGTCTCTCTCTCTCATCTGTCTCATTGTATTTCCACATCAGCATCTCATTTTTTAATCGAGCCCTTCTCAATCTCTCTGCCTTTTTTCTTTCTCCCTCCACGTATAATTTTGCGTCTCTCAGGACCTGACGGTTCCGCCACATCGGTCCGGATGGCTACTTTTAGAAAGGGTAGAATAAACCAGTGATCTGGGTCACATCGCTGTTTGACGTATGGCGCTGGCACATTAGACCTACACGGTGAAATGGGGCTACGTTCACCCACAAATGGAGGCAGCCACTGAAATGAATCCCACCTACCACCTGCTCCGTTCTCCCCACAACCCCACAGACACCTCTACCTGCAGCCATTACACCGCACGAATGCTCATTTTCGTTGGATTCATGAGCTCTTTGCCGGTGTGACCAGTGGATGTGGTGTTTAACCGAATAATATGGAGCATTCTAGCAGCTTAACAGCACCTATAGTAGCTTTCATCCAAGGTATGGCAACAGTGAAAATGCCAAATCTGCTTCTAATGTTTACAGGTGCATTTAATGCATCCTTTGCCTTCTTGAAAAAGCCACTGAAGCCCTCCGTCTCCTATGCAACACTGGGACAATCTGTAAATAACTACCCCCGAGAGCTGTTTCGTCACAAGGAGTAGGGATAGAGAGGGAAGTGAGAAATCAATCTGATTGGGATGAGAGTGACAGAAAAGAGATCCCAAGTTCAGAGAGGCTGATCGGGTGGCCTAAACCAGACGATGTGTCCGTCACAGTCCGACACTCTCCTCTTCCTCTAGAGGGAACCGAATCCAGGTGTGTATGTCTGCTCCTGGTGCCAGGAGAGGTAATGCTATATCTGTCACTGTAGATACAGTATGTATTGCTGAGTGTGCAGTGATTTATGATTTCTTTTTTTCTTTTTTTAAATTCATCTATTTCCAGTGTGATAGCACCTGGCCACTGCAAGTGTCTGCTGACTGTCTGGTTTTGCATTTGGACCTACAGCATCCATGCATTCACAGTACCAATAGGTTCTTATTTACCCCATAACAGCAAAAATAGCACCAAAGACAGGGTGATCAAACTATAACACTGGATATACAAAGCAAGGAAGAAAAAAAAATCAAAGCAGCTGTGATCAAGCAGCTGGATTCGTCTGTAACTGGAGGGTCTGAGAAAAAAGAGCCACTGTAACCGTTTTCATGTACCAAGGATCAAAAACACAGTCAGGGGTACTTGTTACTCTTACACCTGTGTGATCAAATGCCATCAAACGCTTGTTTTTAGGAGGTAAATCATTAACTATTTACATGCAAACAATAAAGGTTATTCCAACGCAGGGGTAAGTTTATGCGTAACAGAAACGAAACCCGTGCGTAAAAGGCATGTAGCGTTCAACTGGGACAGGAGAGACCGACAAAAAACACACACACAACCCAGCAGAGTGTAACACTACCAAGGGCAAAGACATGCACTTGAGCAACGACGATTCAGCGTCGCAGCAGCCTCTCCGGTTGATGTGGGGGGGGAGAAAGAAAAAATGACTAACATGAAATACGGCGCATTGATGTGCGTCGTAAACGGACAAGTATCATCTAATGAAGGCGTTTGGATGCAGGAGGCGCATCGATGCTGCGTTTGGAGGCAGATTTGTATCACAGCCGCTCAAGTAGGAGAATACGACGGTAGGAATTATAACAGCAATAAAAAAAACAAAGGTATTCAGTGTGAATCCAGCTGCTCTCAAGACATGGAGCTGATGTGTTTGACAACCCTGGTTCAACTAGTAGCGACCCATTAACCAACACAGCTGACATACCATTTTCCATTTTCCCTTTGCCATCAGCATTAATTATTCATTATCAGTAAGTCTATATCCCGCCATTTAATACAAGCCACACTGATAACATACCAGCAGTCAATGTCCTGCAGTTAATTATGAAGGACTGTTTTTCATTTTGCCCCCCTGCAGGTTTGGATAATGTGACTAAAACATGCAAAAACAAAGTTTTTCAAACTTACTCAAGCAGTGGTCTGAGACATAATGAGGCAGAAATATGCAACAGTAGAGAAAGAAGTTCCAGGAGAAACCTGGGAGGAGGAGGGGAGGACTCACCCGGGCATATTTGGAGGAATAGGGGTCTTCAAAGAGTGCCCAGATTTTGGGCTGCCAGGTTTTCCACCAGCCCGCTTTCCTGGCGTCCTCCTGCATGCACAGTCTTTTCAAGTCTCCGTCCGCGCCGCCCAGCGCCGGGTCGTCGTCCGGCGCGTCCGGCTCCGGAGTCTCGAAGCTGTCCAGCGCCTCCTCCGCATCCCGATGCTGCCGGTAATTCATCCAGCAACACGCCTCCACGTCCGTCTCATCGATGCCCCAGAAGGCCAGCTCCTCTTCGAACAGGGGGCCGCACACATCGTTGGGACAGTGCAACTTCCCGGTGCGGTAATAGTTGAGGATGAAGGAAAACACCGACGGGTGGCGGTCGAAGAAGAACTCGTCTAATTTGGGGTCGTAGTCGAAGTTGCTGAATGCGTCCGGCTCGGTGAGCCACGACAGGCGGGTACCGGGCAACGTTTTTAGGGTGCTCCGGTAGGTCTCATGCCGCACCCCCCCGCAGTTTATCACGATTTTCTCGCTTTCCGACGGACAAGTCATGTCTGCGCTGTAACATGCTTTGTTGGACGACTTGTTCCCACCCTTGCGCCCTTTGAAAGAGGATACACACACCGAACTGAGCATAGAGGACCGGGGGGGAGGGAGAGGATGAGAGAAACCGAAGGGAGGAGGAGGAGGAGGAGGGAGGAGTCTGAGGAGTCTGCGGGGAAGAGAAAAAGGGCAGAAATTTTAGCAAGAAGGGAGAAATAGACGTGGATTATCAACATTGCAATACAGATCAGAGAACCACCACGCTTTGTGCCACATGTATGTGCAATTAGTCACTTGATAATCAGAGGATGGAAGGGCACGACGACGACCTTGTGCAGGTGCAGAGAGTGAGGATGGAGGGGAGGAGGAGGAGAGGAGGAGGAGGTGATGGAGGGGAGGAAAGTTGTTTTGTGTTGTTGTTGTTGTTGTTGTTTTAAACGCAGCATCCTGCATGGAGAAAGAGGATGCCAGTGCAGTGGATGAAAACAGGTGGCTCTGGAGCACATTCATGAGTCAGCATCCTCATGGGCTGATTGTTGTGATGAGAGGATTTCTTAAAGTGATGTTTCTGCTGGGATCTGTCATGATCTCAACAAATTGATCCGGCAGCCAGTGTTGATTCGAAGTCCTCTCTCTAATGAGGCCACACAACTCTTCCTGTTTTTTTGTTTTTTTTTTTAACTTGCAAAGGCACCCCAAGACAGCAAAAAGAAGAGGGAAAACAGTTCCTTTTGCCTCTGTGACGTGCTGGTGCAGCGCCTCGTGTGAGTGTGTATTTGTATGAGCATGTGTGTGTTAATTGCCTCCCGAGAGTGCGGTGTCCGTACTAATGTTAGATCTCCTCAATCAGCCTGTGTGCACACACACATTCTGCTGCTGCAGCCCCCTCCGACCGCACCGAGATTCATGCGATGCACAATTATGTCAATGCTGCCACTTCTCTCATGCACTGTGTAAAGACATGCAGAGAGGAGGAAGGTGGAGGGTAAGAAAGAGAGAGAGAGAGAGAGAGAGAGAGAGAGAGAGAGAGAGAGAGAGAGGCTGAAGGGGGGGAGGTAAAGGATGAGGAGGCCATAAATCAGATTTTTAATGGAAGGATCGAAAAGGACAGGAGGGGGGAAAAAAACAAGGCAGACAAGGACCTTAAGAGGACAAAAAAAAAGAGGGAGAAAGTGAATGCAGCATCCTCACTGGGGGCAAATACAGTAAACAGCTATCTCGTCTAGTAATGGAAGAAGAAGGGGGTAGAGGAGAAGAGGGTGCAAGGGGGGGAGGAGGAGGATCGAAAAGGAGAGTGCACTATAAAAGTGAATGAATTCTGCTGCAGTAAAAAGCCGGAGTTATTTGCTCTCTCGTCTCCTCAGCGAGGTCAGATTGCCATCCGGAGGGGCTCACGATGCTTCACAACAGGCAGGAAAAAGAGAAAAAAGAAAAAAAAAAAAAACAACCTATACATTCACTGTATCTGTGTTGTTAACCTTTTTCTCTATTCAAAGAAATGCACCACTCTCCTCCTCCTCCCCTCCCTCCCTCCTGTGAGCTCTCTCCGGCCCTCCCCCCTCTTACTACTCTCTCCCTCACTTTCCCTTCCTCACTCGCTCTCATATTCCGCATAAAGGACTCACATTTCATTGAAGGAGGGGGAAATCAAGGCTTCACTTCTTCTTCTCCTTTCTCTCACAACAGTCCTATTCCTATCCAGTGTCCTCCCCCTTTTTCCTCTGTCTTTCTCCTCACTTCTCTGCTCTCCATCCCGCCTTTTATCCTCCCATCTTCACTTGTTTTCTTCCATTTCTGCCCCTCTTTTGCGTCACCCCTCTTCCTCTCTCATTCTTCCCTCCTTTGCAAAGTAAGCTTCCTTCACTTTGGGTCAACTCTTTCCTCTCAGTTTTTTTTCCCCTCCGCTTTGCATTAAGTAGGACGCTGCAGTCTTTCTTTCTTTCTCGTGTTGTTTTGATAATTTCACTGCACTTTTTCTTTTTTTTAATCTGAGGAAACAACTTTTGTTCACGGAAAAGTTTGCTGCCTTTCGTTTCTCTTCAGATCTTTTATTGTTATTACGTTTTTTATCTTCAGATTTTGTTTTGACTTTTTGGTGTGAATATTATCTCACTTTTTTTTCTATTTTGTTTGGGAGATCCTGGGAGAGGAAAAAAAAAAAAGACAACACTCAGGTAAGATCTGCTGCATGGGTTAACAATCACAGCACAAACTGTGCACAGGAGGCAGAGAAGCTGTATGTTTTATGTGCACAGCGTAGAAAAATAACTGTTAAATCCTCAGATTTCTACCTTTTTTCCCCCCTCAGCTATCCCAAGTCTCTGCAGTATTTTGCTGCAGGACCATCAAATGTGCTTGTTTGACAGAAAAAAAAAAAGTCCTGCGCTGTGAGCTGGAGAGTTGCACTGCATCATTACGCCAAAGTAGCATCTAAATAGACTTTACAGTTAAAGAAACGACTTCTGCAACAAACAGGATATTTGAAAGTGAGGTCTGGGAGGGAAGAGAGTGTAAGAAGATCTAAATCCAGTCAGTTTTGTCCTGTGGGTCTCTCCAGCAGGGAGGACTTGGTGCTGTGGGATGGATTATGTTTCAGCACCATGGACAGCAGCGCTCTCGCTCTGATGGGACAAACTCCCTCTGATGGGACGCGGAACTTTTAAGAAGCAGCTTTCTGTGAACTTTAATACTTGAAATAAGTTTTTCTGAGCTCCACTTTGCAGCCGTGCACCCTGACTTGCACTTTGCAGGCAGCACAAAGGTGAACTGCTGAATATTTAATACACAGACAGCCACAAGTCTGTAACTGTGGTTAAACGCTTTTTGTTCCCTCACAGTCCCATGTGGTGAGTTTTATTGATTTTAAACATTTAGGTTAGTAAGTAGTCTTACATGTATCTGAACTGTAATGGTAAGTGTGCAGCTGCACCTTTTCTTAGGGTGAAAATTGAAGAAGTTTGAGTAAAAGTAGTCGCAAACAGGACCAGATTACTGATCTCAATGCGAATTAGAAGCTGCATTTTTGGGCCGCAGTTTTCAGCCTAATACAGGGCAAGTAAGAAGATCTGTTTAAGAGTCAGCCTCAGCACCTTAATCACTGACATCAGCGCAAAAACACACCAGAGAGAGAAAAAAGGAGGGGGGGAGAGCAGGAGGAAAAAGGGGGTACAGAAGGTTGTGTAAAATGGAGGAACAGAATTAGTGGAGATGGGGAAAGAAAAAAAAAAGACAAAGAGGTGAGAAAGAAACGCAGCACACATGAGAAAGAGGATAAAAACTGAGTGAGAATCGAAGGGGAGGGGGGTGCAGAGGAGCAGGGAGGAAGAGGAGGAAGAGGAGGTGGAGGAGGAACGATCCCACCTCCCTCCCCTCCTGCAGCACCACTACTTTTCTCTCCTGCAGCATTTCCTGCCTCGGCCACCATGTCCTGCGCCACCCTGCTACTACACCGTCTCACCACTGCACACATACATGCACGAGGGAGGAAGAGGGGGGAGGCGCACTCACCTGGCTACAACAACAAAAAAAAATGTTTTCATTATAAAAGGGGACAGGAGGCTATTATAAATGGACTTTTTTTTGTTGCAGTGGGCCCTGATAGATACAGAGAACAGGATTTAGAGAAGGAGAGGCTCAGCTCATGCACGGACCGCACCGAGGCTAATATATATTCGCAGAAACACTGCAGCAAGGAGGGGGGGAGCACGAGATTATGGGATGCATTGACTGTGAGGTACCAGCAGCAGTAACCGGGGGAGAGGAGAGGAGGGGGAGGGGAGTAGAGAAAGAGAGAGAGAGAGACGGAGAGAGAGAGAGAGAGAGAGAGAGAGAAGGAAAAGGGAGAAATTTGGAGGAGTGCTGACTATGCGGAACAGAACCAGCAGTTGGCAGGAAAAGCGAAAACCTTTACCAATATAGCAGAGGGGGGAGATGGGGAGAGATGAGAGAGAGTGAGATGTGATGGAGAAAGGAAGAGAGAGAAAAATGAAAGAAGGGACGAGGAGGAGGAGGGGATGGGGGAGGGAGACCTTGCAGTGGCTCAGGATGATGGCACCTGAATGGCTGTGAAGGTGTGGGAGGGTGGATTAGAAACGTCCTGCAGTAGCAGCCAGAGAGAGGTACGGAAACAGCAGAGTGATGGAGAGAGAGGGGAAGGAAAACAAGTGTAAAACAGACATACAGCTGAGCTGAATGGTAAATGTACCACAGGGAGGGGGGGGTTAAAAAAAAGAAAAAAAAAAAAAGAGGAGGGCTCTGCAGGCAAGTGTGTAATGTATGTTTGTGTGTGTATGTGAGGGAGAGAGTGCAAATTACGTATGTGTTTCTGGTGCGCAGCCATTTTTTTTCCCCCACCCGCTACCTCATCAAAGGATGTAACCACAAGACTTCACGCTGTTCCATCCATATCACCACACTCCCTCCCTCCTCTCTCTCTCTCTCTCTCTCTGTCTCCCCCCTTCATCTCCCTCTCCTCTCACACTCCCCAGTGCTGAGGAGACCCCAACAGGAGAAAGTGAAGCACTGCAGCACACTGAAAGCACTGCGGTCACCTCCCCTTTTAGTGCGGTGTCACACCACACAGCATCCTCTCTCTCTCTCTCTCCCTCTCTCTCTCTCCCCCCCCCTCCTCCCTCCTCTTCCTCACCTCCTTGGACTGTCACTGCACCTCATGGTGGAACAGTTTCTTGCCACGAGTGGAGCAGCCAGATAAGATGTGTTGTGCATGTGTGTGCGGATGGTGGCGAGGAGTATGAATAAGAATGAGTGGAATTGCATGAATGGATGGATGGAGAGGAGGCAGGGGAGAGAAAAAAAAACAAAACAGGGTGCGTATGCCGAGAAAAACAGTAAGCGGGGCCACACACAGACCCTCTGCTCAGACAGCTAATGTACACAGATGAGAAAAAAATAACAACAACAAAAAAAGAGCTCACCAGCAGCCAATTCCCAGAACATGAATTAAATAGCCAATCAATTAAGCAAGCGGAAAGGAAATGGCCAATCTACCAGAGGCAGCTCCTCTACTCAGCAACACCGGAGTGCAGATCTCCAGGGGCTGACCAATCCACACATACCGCAGCACCAACACCCCCTCAGGGGGTCTTGAGCCTTGTGCATATTGGTCAATCACCCCTACCAGAGGAGCATACAGCTGCTGCTCTCTTGTGACAATTCCTCTATCAGAAACCCTTTTTTTCTCTTCTTTATGAGAAAAAAAAAGAAAGAATAAAAGAATCATGCACTCCTGGTTTTCTCCTTTTAGCAGGCTGGGGGATGATTAATACATAAAGCCATTTTCAGGAATAGACTAGCAGCAATGAAGCCTGTAATAGAGCTCTGAAAGCTCAGTCAGTGTCCATGACTAAAATCTTTCCTGCCCACAGGACGATGAAGGCTGAGAGTTTAAATATTTTTTTTGGATAGATATGAAACTGTGGTGAGACGAGTGACATGCAGGGTGATGAAAGAAGAGATACTAAAGCTCCCTTCAAGGAGCAATCATCAGTACAGGAAGAGGTCAGAATAATCCTGAACTGGCACTGAGTGCAAAGGAAGAAGAAAAAAAAAAGGCACAGGATAGTGTGTCATGTCGGGAAGGATCTCTATTTTTGGACCTGGATGAATCTGAGCTAATATCCCTCAGTATTGGAAAACTGGTTCTTTGGAGGATTTGCATTGGGAGCTGATAGCTTTAACCCCCAACACCTCCCGGCTCTCTCTTAGGTCATTTAAACCTGTCGACTCTTAATTAATGACGCTGGCCTCCCTGCATGATTAGGACCATTATGATCCAGCAGTGCAATCATGTGCTACACGGGGGCCAGACTGACAAATGGGACGATGGAAGAAGTATTACAGCACTGATTCCTGACCTGTGAACCAGCCGGCAATTAGACAGGAAGAAGAGGGGAGCGAGGGGGGATGTAAGTCACAGATGAGAGTTTAAACAGCAGGGAAGGAGGGAGAGAAGCTGGACGTCAAGAAAACAAAACAAAGGTGAACTTAAGGTGAGCCCTCAAGGTCAAAGATGCGAAAAAAAGGGGTTTAAAAGGCCAGAATCAGGTGGCGAATTAGCTGAAGGACAGACGGGAAGTTCTAATAAGTGAGAGAGTAAAGAAAAGAAGAAAAAAAAAAAGATGAGTGAAACCATCCCAGCCAAGGAGAGAGGAAGGGTCAGAGGCACAAGAACACATAGAAACCCAGGACACGGCGGATGCGTAATTCAATCACAGCCTCAAAATAGATTTATCCCCCCCACCACCACCATTGCTTAAACAGCAGCGCCCTCCTTTTTAAAAACCCCATCACTACTCTACCAATCACATCCACAGACAGCATGCCACTGTCTCTGGTGGGGAGGCTTCTTTTTTCTTCTTCTTCTTTTTTTTTTTTTGCTAAAATCGAAGGGGTGTTTTCTGGGTTACCCTCAGTCTAAAAATAGCACCAGCTGTAGATTTATAATGCAGAGAGAGAGAGAGTGAGAGAAAGCAAATGGAGGAAGAAGAGTTCCTGTTCAGAGAGGAGCACGCTGGAGCCAGTTGGCAGAAAAAAAAAAAAAGATGGGAGGCATGTGCTGGAAAGTGAAGGCAGAAGAGGCGTTATGAAACCAGTGACTTTGTGTGTGATGCGGTGGAATGCGCACGGATTGTCGGAGTGTAAGGTGATGGTAGCAGAAAAGGGGTAGAAGACCACGTCTAGACATTTTAACTGCCCCCCTCGACTTCCTGGGTGAGATCTCAGTGACGCTATGTCCTTCTTGTAGTTCCGCTCCAGTGCCACCTCTCTTCTCTCCCCCCCAATTCCTCATCTTCTACCATCTCTTTCCTCACAACATTTTCTCCTCTCTTGCTCTCCTGTGTGTTTGTGTGTCAGCCCCCCATCCTCCTCCTCCTCCTCCTCCTCTGGTTCCTTTATCAAACCTCCATTTCAGGCCTTGACACTTACCCAGTGCTGCCACGATGCACGATTGCAAAAACACACACACACAAACTGAGGGCACATGCAAGTCAAACAAATGCATCCCACCCCCCCACCACCACCTCCATCACCAAATGCACAAAAAGGCAATACACACATGGAAACAGTTACTCACGCAGACAGACACACACACACAAAAAAAATGATGCAGGCAGGGATGCACACACATACACATTCCCTCTCAGAGGCATGAAACTGCTCTGATCTAGTGGTGTAGATGGGGAAACACCCACCATTTGTGCAATGAGGGATGTTAGGATTTTTTTTTTTTTTTTTTTAATGGAAAATTTTCAGGTCATATCAGTGGCTAGTTAAAAGCAGGCACATCAGAAACAAAAGCAGTGAAGAGGTTTATGAATTTGGAATACAATCTGATTTCTCCTCATAAGGATCAAAACAGAAGCAGGCTACAGGGGGGAAAAATCGCAGTTTTTGTGGACAAAACGATACTTGTTGAATGTAGGTTAGTCGCCGTATTTTTTTTATTTTTTTTGTCCATTTCTTTCCCCCCTTCCCTGCTTCTCATCTGGCTAATAATAATAGAAAATAGAAAAAAAAATCCCGGGTTAGTAGACGGATAAACGCAGAATAAAGCCACCAAAATACAGACATATACACAGACACGGTTCATACTCACTTGCTTTTGGTTCAGGTTCGTTTCGAGTGCGCGCAGAAACACGCACATGAAGCTTTAAAAAGATCAATCAGAAGGTAGTTTTCTTTGTTAGATCGCTCTTTCTTATGATTTCAGAGAGTATCCAGTTTCTCGCAGGCATTCAGTTGATCAGATTTTTTTTGTTGTTGTTGTTTTCTTAATAAATCAAAATAGCATTGCGCGCGTCTGTTTTGCTGGAAATCTCGTTTTGGATAGCGTTATTGCCGAATGTTAGTTATAGCTTATGATCATGCTGATGATGAAAAACGGGATGAGTCTTTTCGGATGAAATGAAGCAGAAGTCCCCCCGAAAACTGCCTCTTTTTTGTCTTTTTTTTTTTGTCTTTTTTTTGTCTTTTCTTTTTTGCTATTTCCCTCGATTTCACAGCCCCTCTCCCACCTCTTTGTTATTGCCTGAAAAAAAAGGAAGAAAAAAAAAAAGAAAGAGAATTGCCAGCCTTTGTTACAGTGTCTCTACGCTTCCAGGCGCAGGGTGTAGCTACCATTCAAGCTCTTCCTCTGTCTCCCCCTTTTTCCAAATGTTTCAGTGGAGATGCAGCCTGTAGACACCTCTCTCTTTGCCTTTTCCCTCCCTGTGCCTCCTCTCTCTCTGTTCCTTTGGAGGAGCGTCACCTTCTGCACTATTTTTTTCCTCAGACGATACATGTGGGCGGATTAGAGAACAAGACAGAGGGGTGGGAGGACCCCGGTGAATACAGAGGCTAATTTCTCATATGGCTGCTGAACTTCATAAATACATGCAGTAAAACAAACACACACACACACACTCACACTGAGTGATAAGAGGAAACGATTGTGTTGATTGTTTCATCAGCTGTTTAATTGGTTCTTTTTTTTTTTTTCCTCCTTTCTCCCCCCTCCCTCCCCATCTTCCCCCTACTTCATAGCCCACACATGCTCACTCTGCTGGACGGACGCACAAACACCATTTTGTCTACAGGTTCCCAGCCTTGACTCTGGCTTGGCTGACATCAGCAGTCATGTGGTAGCAGAGGAGCAGGTGGATTAGAGGAGTCTGGAGTAATATGCTTAATAACAAAAACAAAGAAGGAGGGGGGGCAGATTTCATAAAGTGATCCTCCCTTTTTTCTGAGCAACCATCGTTATTCCATCAGAAATGCCTCAAGTTGCACATTCACATTACTGTAAATAAGCATCAACAGGCTAAATGAAGGGATTTCATTCATGCATTTTGCAGATAAAGCCTTCACTTTCTGTACCACATGCCTTGATTTTTATTTTTTTTTTGCAGGAGGAGGCTCTAATGGTTATGAAGCATTACTCCCAGCAAAAGGAAGCAACGATGATCAAGCAAGCAATGCTGCTGATGCACTTATTGACAGGAAACTGAGTGAGTGCAACATCGCCTCATAAAATTTACAACGATAGTACAAGGGCAAAAGGCTCTTCCTTTAGGTGCCTCGGACGTTTTACGTTGACCGCAAAATGTTCTTGTGAGAGCAAAGTGCAGACGGAAGAGAGAGACAAAAGGAAAGTGTGTGTGGGGGGGTTATTTAAGTACGAGGAAGGTTACTGTAAAATAGTCAGCTGCAGAAAAAGTCACATTAGTTTTGCCTTTTCCAAAGGACATTATTAGCGGACATTGAGATCTACAAAAGTCTACCGAGAATGTTTCTTATGTTGTAAGGATTCAAAGTCACAGTCCTCTCCTTTAAAAGAAGAAAAATAATAGGGGCATGAACTTGACTATGCTTGATATGGTGCAAATAAAAGGAACTTAATAGCATAACGAAAATGCTGGATTAGCAGCTATTCTGAATTGCAGAAGTGACCCTTTTTTGTTTTTTTCACTTGTTCCTGTTTTTTGTCATTCCCAGAATCTACAGGTTTGACCCCCTACAGTGGCTACATGTCCTAAACCCTCACCTGTTCACTCCAAGTCACTCTGTGAAATGATTGAAGGTCTTGTAAAGCTTCTTTTTTTTCTCTGTAGGTATTTTTTTTTGCATGTTTCATATTTTCATACTAAGTCACACCTTACGAGGCTCCCACCCAATGTCTCTGGTAAGTGCAAGGTTTTCGAGTTGCTTTTTGCACCCCGAGGAAACAACGCATGTGTCTATTCCGCACTATATCACTCGTTGTTCATTTACACCTCCCAAGGCCCTGCAGCAGAGTCTAGGATCAGCCGCACACAAGATTTACACAGGTGTTGTACTCAAGAATTCTCAGATAATTCGAGCTGTTAAATCAGCAGCCAGCAGCCCTCCAGCAGGAGTTTTTTTTTTTTTTTTTTACATTTTGAAAGCATCTATAGCATTCAGCATACAGTGTATTAAAGGTAATAAAACAGCAGTAACTCTGAGTCTCCAGTCTTGATAGCAGCTCTCATAAGTCTGAGCTGAGGCACCGTGGAGCCTGTGGTTAAATGCTAATATTTGCATTGTGACAATGCTGATACTGAGCAGGACATATTTACCATCTTAGTTTTGTGTGCTATTATTAGCTAATTAGTAAAAACAAAGCACAGACGTGGCTAGTGATAATGTACATTTTCAATACAATTTCAAGGCAAATTTCTGCATAGATTTTACTGTCAATTCTGAAAAAAAATCAGCACTGGAGGAAAAGTCTAGAGGTCACCAGTCTCAGCAGGATTTCTCCTCTGGGGACAATCAATGTTAGTGAATTGGCTACATGTCAATCCATCCAGTTGTTGAAATATTTCAGTCAGAACAACAGCGTTTAAGCAAACAACCAACAGATACAGACATGGCTGAAGGCTAAAAAAACAAAGATTATTAGCTACAAGCTCATATGCAAATTTAGTAAGAATGTCATTCCTCGCTTAGATCACAAAGCTTTGTTAGCTACAGATTCCACAAATACACAACATAAGCATGTTTAGTCAAGGCTATGTCCAGTAACAACAAGACCGTCAATCACCGCTCGTCAAGGCGTCGCTCTGTGTTCTGAACTTTAAAGCGAACGCAGCCCGAGCAGCACCAGAACACGTGAGGAGGAAGTCGTCCACAGAAAGTAGCTGACACTGTTTCTTCATCAACCCGCATAAATACTGAATGTTCAACTTTGTCCGCACTAAGAGTGAGCATTAGTCAACACAAGACACATTCTCAGCCAATCCCTCGGCGGCAGCTCATGCATAAGGAAGCAGGAGAGCAACAGACCCAAGAAGAAACTGTGAGGTTAAGAGAAGATTCTCATGCACATACGAAAACAGCAGCTCTGTGATGATGGCCTCAATCTTATAAGTTCAACAGTAAATGTTAGTATTTGCTGTGTTTGTGGACTTTTAGCACCTAAAAATGTCAACACTACTGCAGTGGACAACACACGGCTTATATTAAGTGAGTGTAAATGTACAAGAGTCGACATATTTGCTCAGATGGAAACAGTGCTTGAAGGTAAACAGAAAGAACTGACTGAATGAAGATGATAAACTGGTGGTTCAATATCTGTTACTGAGGTTGTCTACCACTAATTCAAAAACACTGTCCTCTGACTGAAGGCCTCCCGTGTTCATAATGAAAAAGGTCACCTCTGAGATAAACCCTGTGACCTTCAGACATACAACACAAGGCGGGTTGTGTTTAGTGTGAAGAGGACGAGGATGTAAAATTGATTTTGGTTGAGAAATCTAACAATAACACACCAAACAAACCTTGCAGAGGTGATGTTTAGACGCTATGTGTTGGAAAAAATAAAGGACCACGCACCAAATGTTAACAATGACTCCCAGAAGTCTATTTTAAAAAGCAACATTTGATAGAACTGTGTGATATTCCTGTTTAATGAGTGGAAGCTGTTGTATTAGTGCGTCATTTCCTTCACTAGAGGTTTCTGCTTCAGGAGCTATTTCCTACAATGTGATTCTATGCTTTATCAGACATCAGCCAAGTATGTACACAACATACATGGAATTTGGTTGAATGTTGGTGTCGCTCTAGGGATGAGCAAGGAAAAGAATAACAATAAAGTAGTTATCTGAATAAGGCAAGAATATGAATAATTACTACATCAAAATGCAGCTACAACCTTTTTTTCCCCTCCTGAGTTTATACAAAGAGTGTGGCTTCAGACAAACTACAGTATTCTGGGTAGTCTGCTGTTTTGACATAAATCTTCCCAAGACTTGATATCACACGGAACCACAAAAAGGTTTGGAAATCATTCAATACTAAAGTAAGAAGATTGCCAGATGACATGATGCAATGTTACAGCTAATTTAAAATGAAATGTTGGACATTGTTTGCACACAAGTTCATTTGCACAAGACGTTAGCCTTTGTAATCGTAGCACAAGAATGAAAACTTGAGGCTTTTTTTAAATTCAAATAAAATTTTCAAGATGCTGATGTAGTCTGTTGTTTTGTTGGTTGCATTACTTCATATGTGTTTATGTTTTTACGTCTGGACTAACTGTCAATGTACGATTTCCACCGATCAGCCGAAACATTACAACCACCTGCCTAATATTGCATTCTGGTGGGTGTTAGGTGTCGAAATAGCATCCGCACATATACCAGGATATAAGGCATCCCAGCAGAACATTATATTGTAATGAGATGATCAATGTCTTCAACCTTTGGGTGGTTATAATGTTTTGGCTGATCAGTGGAAGCAAACAGAGACCCTGAAAATGTCTACTATGCATGTGTAAAACCTCTAAAGACAACAATAAACGGCCTGGTTCAGATTTTGTCCAAAGTGAGGTTTGTGTTTTTGTGTCCTGACAAGTTATTCTGTCTCCAAGCAGTGCCAAACTCTTATCAAATCAAACAGAGAAGTATTATTGATTCTAAAGTAAAGTAGTGCTAATGTTGTATCAACTATCTTACAGGAAATGAAAATAAATCTGCAATTAGACTCGATCTTCCTCCCATGAACCCAGACTGAACAGCACAGTGAATGAGTCTCGTGTGAAGCCCCCCTACTTAAATGTACATTAACTATATTGTTGTTCCAGGACCCCAGACTCTCTAAGATCCGTATTTGGTCAAACTCCTTCATCCAAGATAAGATGGTGGCCTCAATATAAAGACAGATGAAGCAGAAACAATCTAATAATCATGATTGTTTTTCTTTTCTTTAAAGGCAGCTGCTTTGACTTCTCAGTTTCCACACTTCAAACTACACTCCATATTTTAAAAATATCTCGAGCCCAGCAGGTTTTCGAAGAAACTACAAAACAGCACAGATTTTAATGGCTGCTGTATATTTCCTGTATATTGTACACAGACACTTAACCACCAGAGGAAACCACTTTGCTGCCCACATCACACAAGCTGTACCAAAAACCTCATCCAGAAAACTAAGTCTCGTGTCGGTAAATGAGGCCGTCGCTGCATTCAAATTTACACCAGGATCTTGTGTTCTGCCAGAGGCCTTCACAGGATCTGTCTGGGCTCCATATAGAGTCTAATTTAAAGCCTGGAGGCTGCAGACCAAGGGCGCTGGCGACATTTCAACAATGTAAGGCACAGTGTATCAGCTCCTCAACAGCAAATCACGCTGACGTACTGTTGGCACACCGGGAGCTGAACATTCCTACTTTTTATTACCGCGACAAAAAAGAAAAAACAATTACATGGCTTAATATTTCAGACCTGGACGTCAGTGTGTCAGACAATAATGAATTTGGCTAAAACAATCAAACTGGTTGATCAATATTTGTTAAGATGCTTTAAAAAATAATATTAAAAGTATATTCAAGCAACCTGAGAAGGAAACATTAGCTTCTGAGACTAAAACCAACCATAAAATACACAGTATCCGCAGCAAACACTGTTCACCTTCCTCCTAATATGTCTTCTTGTGTGTTTGACAGAGAAAGATAGAAAGTTTTCATCTGTCTAAAGCCCCCCAGAGCCGGGCTGAGGTCCATAACTTAAGAGTGTCATTTAGAGCCAGGAGTCCTCCGACCAAAGGTGTACGTTTCATTTCTGCTGCACAACATGAGCCGCAAATCACACTGACAAACTGTGAAGAGCCTGAATCCCTCATTCTGTCAGTGGGACTGAAGCAGAGGAAACACATTCACAGAAAACGTCGCAGCAATGCAAAGACAAGCCACCGTAGGAGATTGAAAATGACTAATTCACTCTTGAAATGCTTAGAAAGACGTCGAGCGAATCAAATTTCAACTTCAGTGGTCGAGAGCAACTGAGACGTGGCGCCGTCATCCAATGAAGGTGGACAAATGGTGGGCATCCATGACTTAAACAGGACACCAGATTAAAAAGAACAACGTGTGATTACAAGTTGTAAGAGACAGTTTCGACAGAACCAAACCTCTTCCTGGTAGGTTATAAGAGAGCAGCAACATTCTGCATATTCTGTGTTTTCAAGAGATTAGGCAATAATGAACTTGGAAAGGTTCACTTCTGGCCCCGAATAAAATGATTCTAAGCAATAAATTCAGCTACACTTACTTAGAAAGAGTTTCTCTCGTGTTTTATTTAAACTTCTTCCAACATCCAACTTTTTAGGAATTCTTACAAACCAGATCATGAGAAGTCGAAGCTTCAATCTGACAATTTATATAATACTGACACCACAGTGAATAAACAACATGTCGAAACTGCAGCTTGAGGTCGTGGAAAAATGATTCTAAAGAACGCTCCATAGAGGAAGTTGCGTGATTGTAACACCTGTCTTCAACTGCTGGGAATAACGTATTGGGACATAACGTCTGGAACAACTTAAGGAGGAAATCTGCTTGGGAAAAAATGAATGTAAATAAAGGCTTAGCGATCTCTTGGATGGTTTAATTCCTGTGTGAGGAAGTCCAATACATTTAAGAATGAACATCTTTGCTTTGCGTAACACCTGGCAGGTCAGCGAACCGGAGTTCACAATTTGGATCGACCTCTCTGAGGAACTCTCAGGAAGTCTCAGGAAGTCTGAGGAACTCTGAGAAACTCTGAGGAAATCAGTCACCACCTGCTGATAAACACATCTCTATGCACATCTGTCGTTTTCACCGAGACTCCTAATAGTTTGTTTTTGCTCGCTTCGTGGAGCTGCTGTGATTGAGAAGAGTCTGACTTTTAGATTGTCATAAGTGTTCAACATCCGTCACTCCTGTGATTTCTTCGTCTTTTGACAACAAACCCAAACCTCTGCTCGCTTCAGTCGGGTCTGCTCTGATCAGGAGATGAGCTGCTGTCTCGCATATTGGTTTTGAATTCATAATCCCTTGAGATTCTTGTCCTTGTTCTTTGCAAGCCTTGGCTTTCTTTTACTCTTCTCACCCTTGTTTTTCTGACTGGCTTTAATCTCTGCCTCCCACTGTTTTTTCACCAGCGTGTACAGCCTCATGGTGGCCTGCGCGTCTTGGACCTGGACATCATGAGAAGAAAAGGGCAAAGATCAGTCCATGATTTCTTTTTGTATTATTTCTGAGTATTCTTTCACAACGTTGGGCAACAACACACTGGTGTAAAAATCAGCAGTAATTATTGACAAAAAAAGAGGACATGATTTCATCATGATGACTTACAGATGAATGTTCACCCTGCTGGACCTTCACATGGAGGATATCTCTACAGAGGAGCTTCAGCGAGGGTCGACCGCTCTAAAAGAAAAAAAAGAAAAAATCATGTAATGAGTGTTTAAATTTCATGATTGGGTTGTTGACCTCCAGCAGAACTTTCAGGAAGTCCACGTGTACGTTTTCAGAGTTTGGTGATCAACAAGTTCTTAGAATTTGCTTATGAAAGTTACAAACTCAATGTTTTTGGCCACCATCCCGTTACAAAATATTAGTCTTGTGCAACTGAACTCCCCCATCACTGCTGGGAACATCCTGACCACTCTCTGGAAGTGTTTTTTTTCCTGACCATCTGCAAGAGCACATTTCCCCATCGACTCTAACTTAAGAGCAATTGTGTGTCAAACTGACCAAACACTCATATTGAGGATTGTCAGTGGTAATGAGAAGTGGGTCCACGGATGTGACACAACCAGACTTCCAAGAAACGCTGCAAATTTGACACAAGTGCTGGGAGCTGTGTATTAGTGCACAAGAAAACTACTTCCAAAGAATTAGGTGCAGTTTTTGTTTTTGATCTGCCAATTCTGAGAACTTCTTGATTGTACAGAATATCATAGAATTACCTTTACAGTCTTCTTGAAGGGTTTATACTTCTGGGTGTCTCGGATTTTCTTTTTTGGATGATCCAAAAGCAGAATCTGAAACAGAAGTCGGTTTAGTCCTGGTTTATAAGGGTTCACAATTAGGTTAAAAATATATCTTTAAAAGTTTCATCTCAGACATTACATCCGAGCTACCTTTAAGTCATTGTGTATGGCATGTCCAACCACTATTCTCCCTTGCAGGATCTCAGCCACCTCCCTTTGCACAGTCTTTACATTCTCCCCTGTAGTGAGACAAATATGGATGATAAATTCTCACATAATGAGCAACAGTGTTTGGATACTTTAAAGTGATTCATTATAACTCTTTTTTTAGTCTCTTAAAGTTGTTACACAGTATTATTCATGACACCTAATTCCACGACTCACCGTCTTTGATGTCCGCTGGTCGGATTCCACTGACCGCCGTCCTGTAGTCAGTCACCTTCTCTGTGGGTTTCACGTATTTGTCATAGATGCATTTCCCAAACTGGTTCACAAGGGACACACGAGCCAAGATGCTGTCCTCCCCGGAAGGGCCGACTCCCACCATCTCACAATCAATGGCCACAATCTTGGTGAGGCTAATGTTGGTGAATGGTAAACAGAGTGATAAGAGAGGAGAGTCTTCACTACGATTTCAACCTGCCTGAAGAGTTACGTCTCTCTATTGTCTCTGTTTTTCGTTATTTAGATTTGTTGTACAATCTTAACGGCTGCAACTCTTGCACCCAACCCTCCTCACCTAACTCATTATCTGTCTAACTCAGGGGTGTCCAATCCTGGTCCTCGAGGGCCGCAATCCTGCATGTTTTAGATGTTTCCCTCTTCCAACACACCTGATACAAATGATCAGGATCGTTATCAGGCTTCTGCAGAGCTTGATGATGAGCTGATCATTTGAATCAGGTGTGTTGGAAGAGGGAAACATCTAAAACATGCAGGATTGTGGCCCTTGAGGACCAGGATTGGACACCCCTGGTCTAACTAGTACAGACTATACAAGTGTTTACACAACATTTGTCTTTACAGTCAATCCCTTTCAGAATCACAGGACTGAACTTGTTCTGACAAGCTATGCAGGTACCAAACAGCGCAAGTCCAGGGTTTCTCTTCTCTCAGAGTGCGTCTTTGTGGGGCGACAACACACAACATTAAGCATTGTGACTCTGCGTACAGTCAAGGCAATAAATCTGTGATACTCCATTTACAGAAATATATGCATTTTCCTATGATTTGACTATTTGATGAACAAAAATATTTATTTCCCTTAAATTAATTAAACCACAATTTAAGAAACTGATTTAAAACGTTGTTTTCTCAGTTCTTAGCATTTTGGATTTTCCTTTGGTGCTGGCTAAAACCTCTTCAGGGGGAACCAAAAGTTCCTCTAAGGTGGAAAACCCCTGAAATCTTAAACAGACACACATGAAAGGATAATGAAAAATATCATCGGAATGTCACTGGTGGTCTCTGAAGTAAGGGATGTCCAAAACGGTACAATTTAACCTAAATCCCTCAAGAGATCTTACCATGTGATAGTTTTCTCTGCATGGAGATGTATTTGGTCTTTGGTCATTCTGTCATGTGGTTATTTTATCCACAAACAATTCCTATTTTTTCCAGAAATTTCGCTCCATGTACCCATTAGCATGGGTCAATAGCATAGATTTAGATTTATGTCAGTGCAGGTTGATTTTAGTGCTATTAGAAAACTTGTGATAAAACAATATCAACAATAGCTGCTTTGAAGTTTAAAAATCCTATTTAGATATTTAAACCTAAGTGATGTGCCATGGAAAACAGTTTGAAGTCATGCTTTTCAAAGTAAAAGCATTAAAACAAGCAGAATGATGCTTTGTCAAATCAGATTTATCAGTTGATATTTGTTCATAGTTCACATAGGAGGAACATCATTTTGTTTAAACATGTGAAAACCTACAAGTTGTAGAGGCAACATGTCACTGTGTTATTCCTTTTTTCTAATACAGTAGAATTCACTGTGTAGTCACCCTTTATCTCCTGTAAATGAACTGTGAATAATCCCGTATTTACTGACAATAACTGGATTTTTTTCTGTCTCAACATTATCTGCACAATTTGCACTCAACTTTTGGTCACTTTTAACAGTGTTTCTGCAGAAATCAGCCAGTCAAATGTATGCTTTTTATGCCATTTTAATGCTAAACTGGACAATTTTTAATGCCATGCAATGAAAATTACACAGAATCAAAATGTGGACACAGCGGAGTAAAGCGGGAGTTTACATCCCAGAACTGTTTTCAGGGAACAGAAAAGTTTAAACTGTGGTAAAAATAATTCTAAATAAAGAATATTTAATTCCACTGAGAATGAAACTGAATGCTTTTAATGCTATTTAAAGCCTTAATTTTCGCAAAATCAATTTAATAACTATTAATGCTTTTCAATGCCCCGCAGAAACCCTGTCTAAAGATGCTCTTTTACACATATCTATAGTTGAATCTAAATGCATATTTGTGTATTTTTGTGTGCTTTTGAGAGCAAAAATAAAAACCTCAGTAAGATTCTCAGTCGGTTCTTACTTGCTGTATTTTCTCTTTCAGCGCTACAGGTAAATTGATGTGGAGTCACTCACCCCTCGAACGCTTTCTCCTTGACCAGGACGTTCTCCGCCTCCTTGGCTTTCCGTACGCCCTGCTTCTTCCTCATGATCTCTGCTGCTTCTGCTCCCACCGTTGCCTCAATGTCATCGGGGTCCACGTCATCAAACCAGAGGTCGTCTCTGCAACAGCACACAACAAGACGAGGTCAGCAGCCGTAATTATTCTTCACCTAAACATCAGTAGGAGTTACTGCTGCATACTTACTCTGTAGGCTTCTTCTCTTCCGCCTCAGACTTATTTTTCTTGGCTGCTTGTTCGCTGTTTGACTTTCCACCGTCCTTTTTCCTTTTCGGAGCAGCAGACGCCTTCGTCTCGGAGGCAGCCAGCTCCTTCACGTTCACCTGAGTGTCCTTGGGGACGCTGTTAGAGACAGTTTTGTGCTTTACTTTCTTGACACTGTCTGTTTGGCTGGGGCCAGCATTGTTCTTGGAAATAACTTTAGAGGCGTTTTCTGTAGCTTTTTTTGGCAGGACGCCGTTTAGATGTTTCGGTGTCACGGGCTGCTGCTGCTTCTTCTCCGGCTGACTGGCCTTTAACATCTGTGGACAGTTTAGCAAAGTTGTAGACAACCTTCAAGAAGTGCTGAAAACAACAAAGACTAACACACATGTATGACAAAGCATTGTGCTGACAAACCTCTTGTAATATTTTCCAGTTGGCAGAGAACTGCTGGGCATCTTGTGGAGGAGCATTTTTCGGAGCTTCAGCTTTTTCTTGATTCTTGTTTGGAGGCATTTTTATCTTCTGTTTTATCCAGTACTTCTTTTTCTTCTTGACGTTGTTGTTTTTCTCCTTATTAGACGGCTTAGCGTTTGCACTCTTTGCCTTAGACATTATGGTCACTGCTTTCCTTTAAATATTTCCTCTGGTTTAACAAAGTGCGTTGAGTTTTCTCACCGTGTTCAGCCACGCTGGTTCATCAGAGATCCGTCACTTACTAACCAGGCGGCCTTTTAAAAGTAACGCTCGATGTTGTCTCGCAGAAAAAAATGTCTCCACAAAGTGTATTTACCTCATAGAAACACCCACACCGACGAACTGCTGTGATATGTTCCTTAACTGGTGATAAAATCGCTCAGTAGTACACTTCTAGCACTCAGAAGCCATGCTGCAATGTGTATTTCCGCGATGTGCAACAGCTAAATGTGTCCGACCAAAAACGTGAGGTCTTATTACAAAGGCCACACATTAGTTACAGACTAAAATAATCTACGACTTTAGAGTTGTTTCACAAAAATATTACGTTTTGTCATCTACTAATAAGTAAAGATTTTTGTGGTTTATTTTGCAGGTTATTCCAAATGCGGAAGGTTTTGTACCAGCAAACGTTTCACATCGGGCTAAATATCACGTGGGACCATGTTTAGGCGACGATACTGTGGAAGTAGATGTTTTGAAATTAAAGAAGCAGAGTAGAAATGTTGATAAAGTAATGTAGTTTTAATTTAGATCGTCATCTTAATTCACGTGTGGAATAAATACATCGCGTCTTATGTTCCAACATGTTGGTTAAAACCTCAGTTTAATATCTGGGATCGATTTGAGACGTTAGATGCTTTCATTAGGCTTACAGCTGAACAAACGAAGCAAATACGTATTTGTAGGTACGTAGCTTTGTCTGAATGATTTTTTTTCTGTTTTATTACACTTCGTTAAGGCTCTGTTTTCATCTGGTTTCAGATCATGGTGGAAAACTCTCCTTCTCCTCTGCCTGAGAGGGCCATTTACGGCTTTGTTCTGTTCCTCGGCTCACAGTTTGGCTTCTGTAAGTCCAGTACTGCTAACTACACTCTTATGATACGAAACATAACCCGTTAAACACATCTAATTAACAAAACAAGCAAAACATAACTAAAGTAAACAAGCAGTCTTGGTGAAAACGTTATTTGCATTTAAAATGGACTTAAAACCTTCCATTGCTGTGAATGTCCTGAACTGAATAACTCTTTTTTGTTTTTGTTTTTTGCATTGTAAAAATATGTTGAATACAATATTATGTAAGTAAGCAACTGCATAGAAGTGAAATCTTTAATTTATCAGCGAGAACAGAAAGCCTTCAGTCAGCCATGACTGTCATGTTCTTCTCTCTGCAGTCCTTTACTGTCTGTGGGCCTTCATACCGGAGGACTGGCTTCATTCAATAGGACTCACTTACTGGCCTCAAAAGTACGTAGAATCCTTCAAGTTAGATCGTAGCTTTCTGAAAACAGTATATATAAAAAAAATAATACGTACTCAGTGTTTCCTCTACATTCATTTAGGAGCGGCAGGCCGCCGTTCCTAAAGCCTAGCCGCCGCTCCTTAAAATATCCATCCATCCATCCATTATCTATACGCCGCTTAATCCTCACTAGGGTCATGAGGGGCTGGAGTCTATCCCAGCTGACTCAGGGTGAAGGCAGGAGACACCCTGGACAGGTCACCAGTCTATCACAGGGCTACACTTAGAGACAGACAACCAAGCACACTCACATTCACACCTACGGACAAAATTGCAATCGCCAGGACGTGCAAAAAACTCCCTCGGCAGGTGAAACGGCCACAAACCAACCACCAGCATTTCAACATCCTTGGCGAGTCCCCAGCCTTTCTTCTTACCACTCTCCCTCCAGCTCCAGTCCGGTCTGACCAGGTGAAATCCGTCCAAAGTTACGAGCGAGTCCGGAGTGAGTTTTTTCAGCCATGACTCCGTGAACAACATGAGACTGCACTCCCGATACTCCCACTGCAGCCGGGTCAGCGCTGTTAGCTATTAGCCGTTAGCACTTCCAGGCCGCTAGGGAGAGACTTCACGTTTCCATGATGATGGAGGGACGGACGGCGTCTCCTCTCCTCCCGACGCTTCACTCCTGGCCTACATCCCCTCTTCCTCCAGCTCGTCGGGGATGTCCGGTCTCTCCCAAGACGGTGGCTTGGCCTGGCTCAGCGCCAACAACTGTTCACCAGTGTAAGACAATAGAGCCATAGCTCAACGGCTCGCCAGACGTGGACCCCAAAAACTCAAATAACAGACCAACAAAAACGCCATCTGCATCTCCACTGTTCCCACACAAATGTGGTACAGCTGTGTGAAACTGAAATGTTAAAAATATAGAAGAAAAATCAAATTATAAACATAATAATGATAATAATAATAATTACTGGCAAGTACTAAGGTAAACTGCAGATTACTATCTTGCTCAGTATCTACTCTTTGGGGTTAATATGATGTAAAATACTCCCGACCAAGAAATTATTATTTATTGTTTTTATATTTATTTATTTAATTAGATTTTATTTTGTTTTTTTATTTACATTCAGCCTTTAAAAAGCCATTTTCAGCTGATCATTCAATTAATAGGTTGTAAAAGTAAAATCTCTGCAGTCAAATGTCATTTGTTTATGCCTCTACGGCTCCTGGAGAGCCTGCTGGTCCCGCTGCTGGAAAACATCCCAGAGGAAATACTGCAATAAATAATAATTTCTTGATGGGGCTGTAGAATCAGTGGCAAAGTTTGCACCCAAGCTCAGAACAATTCATTTTTCTGGGTTTTTTTATAGAAGAGCCCTGAGGCTCTGTTGTAGGGAAATTCTCTGAGAGGCTCAGCAGCATCCAGGCTGCAGCTGATCCCCTACAACCTGATTCAGATCATTCCTATCAGGACATAGTACAGTGGCATTATTGATCATTGCTCTTACAATGGAAATACACTGAATTTATTTGATTTTTTATTTATTTAACAGAAATATTGACATGTATATTCTGCAATAAAATAAGAAAGGAAAAAAGGTTCATGGACACTCCCCATGATCAGTGTGGTAGAGCCATGAGTGGAAGCAGCTATTTCTTTCAGCCCATGTAGGGTCCCATCCTGAAGCCTGAGCTTCCCTTTAGGTTCTCCTCCTCTCTCATCTCTCTCTCCTGCTCCTCCACTCAGCTCTCGTCCACTTTGCTCCACTGCTCCTCCCTGACTGATGTTACTGGTCTTATACATTAAACATTAACGTTAGATCATTTACACTCACATCACATCTGGTTACACTATTTTTGCTGAACCATCATCATTTACGAGTCAGTAAAAGGCTAATGCTACCTGGCTAGCGTCACTTCCATCAGGTGTCTTTCTCTTCTTAGAGAAATATTTGACCAAGCTCATCTGAAGATGCACTCAGCAGTTCCATCATGGCG